TAATAATATTTTTTATGTGATATGAAGAATTTAGGTGATTTAAATAAAATTTAGGAGTTAGATATGTAAATAAAAAAAAAGTTTTGGGTTGTATGTAAGTAAATGTGGTACTTTTCAACTTAGTAGTTAGACTATCTTAATTGGAGAGGCTACTCTATATTAACTCTTTCACAATAAATAATAATAATCATAGTATTAATAATAAATCTCTTCCATGATAGCAATCAAGATGAGGTGGCTTTGGATTTGTTAGGAACAATTTTGTACTTTATAGATATTAAAAAAGTTCAAACAATGTGTTAAAAATAAATTGAGTTCATATTTTTTTAATAGTGTGAGATATATAGTAAACTATCGTACAAGGAAAATATGTTTGATTGTATTTGATTGCCCTAGGTCAGACATGTGTAGAAAGATCCAAACGAGACAAAAATATCTTAGATAAGAAGAATCAACTAAATGAGGACCAGTTCTTGACTGACTCAAAATCCACTTAAGAGCCACTCGACTTGAGAGACGACCAATTTGGATGACTGATAGACTCAGGAGCGAGTTAGACAATGGTCGGTCGACACTTGAAGCCCGACGTACTCAAAACCGAGCAGCAAACTCGACCAAAGGTCAATTAAAGAAGATTGGTCGACTAAAAAAATGTCAAGGTAATATTTGTCATTTCATGATTTTTCTTGTTCCATACAAATAGAGGAACAACAAATGCAACAAGAGTTAGTTGCTAGAAGTTAATACAATAATACTAATCTCACAATCTCTCTGCTCATTCTCTCTTTTCATTCTCCATTTACGCTCATTCCTTGGGTATGATTCACAAAAAAAATTGTGCTTAACACCCTTAAAGGCGCAATGAGTGTGGATTATGTCACAAACAAGAAGAGGAGCAACTCAAGGATAAGAATCACACTACTGAGAAACTATGCATAATATGGATTGTACCTAGGTTTTTGTGACCCAATAGATCAATAACAGTAAGGAACACATGTTAGAAGTTATTAGAAAAATAATAACACAAGAAAATGGTATAACCACTACTGTCAATGACATCTCACCCATCGAAGGACAAGGGTACCAAACAACAGAAGGGAGAAGGGGAACAAGATATTCACTATCCCGAGAGTGCAAGTCTGACATCACTCGACTTCTGTAGGTATGAATGAATCGAGGCACCACGTCCCGTGCAACTGGAGTGACTTCTCTAGGGACTTGGTGGTCTATTTAGATCAGCTGCGGTATGGACTGTGGTTGCCCTTGTGCCAAGCACTTGATGCAATTTTCAATAGACATGGGGTCATTTCAGCACAAATCAACCCAAATACAATCACAACGATAATGACCTATGTGGTTTCTCTCGAAGCAAAAGGAATTCCATGGTTGATTGATCTATTTAGCCACATAATTTCTTTCCGGGTGGAGGCTGACAGATACGTACAGTTTAGGAGAGTCATTCGGTTCCAATTTTTAGGCTTGGATAATAAGGTTCAGGACTGGAAGTATAACTTTTTCATTGCTTCACCTACAGAGAGTTGAGGTATCAAGACCGTACCGACTGGTGATGCCTTCAAGAGAAAGAAGGGTATATACTACTCCCAAGTCAAGAGGCTGATATTGATTGATAGCTGCTTTCAGTTCCAGTACACTAATCCGGTGAACGTGATTTTTGGTTGAATGAAAGTAGATTCAGGGGCTGCCTCTGACACTAAGGAAGTTAAGTTGGAGTTAGAAGTTGCTTCTTAAACAACCCAGAAGAATGCCAAATCTGATGCTCGGTCTCAGAGAGTTCAATAGTAGGGATTTGCGGCAACCGAATGAAGGACGGTTGAGGCATGCAGTGACGTAGTGAGGTTAGTAGGTAAGGACTTTTCTTTCTTTATTTCTGCAATTACGGTGGCGATCCAATTTCACTAGTGAACAAACTATCATTGCAAAGAGACATTCAACTCATGCTAATTTTGACACACATCCACTCATGCAGTTCCTTTAGGTGTGAGTCAGTGAGAATATTAGGCGCCATCCGATCTCCTAGAAGAAAGTGAGGCCTAGAAGTCATCTAAGGAAGGGGTGAGAGCACAGTGAGCTTAGCCTCGCCATGATCCTTCATTCATCGGGCTATCTCCACTCAGTAAGGCTAGTCGGCTAGCTTCTACCACCCTGACTGAATTAGATACTGATCCAGAGGCGGTGTCACCATATGAGGTGCAACATAGGAAAGGGAAGGAACAGGTGCTTGAGTCTGACTAAGCATAGAGAAGGTTGAGGAGTAGCAACATTGATAAAGATCGTGTTGTTCTTAGTGCCCACAAAGTAAATGGCAACGCCTTAACCCACTTTCCCTTTCCACCTACCACTTTTTTCTTCTCTTAAAAGGTTAAATATCAAAATTTTGTAGACTCTATTAATATGTTAATCTTCAGATGAAAAGATAACGTGAATTTCAGTCAAATTCTCAACTTTAAAAAAAGCAATTAATTTTTTCAATAAGAATATGACTAGGGCTGTCAAAATGGCTAGTTGTTCGCGAACAGCTCGTGTTCGGCTCGTTAAGAAGCTCGTGTTCGACTCGTTAATTTCGTTCGATAAGTTAACGAGCCGAACACGAACAAAGATGTGTTCGTTCGTGTTCGGCTCGTTTTGGCTTGAAATAATACTCATCAAGTTTATATATATATATATATATATATTAAGTAGTATTTAATTGACTACAAGACTACAAAGATTTGTAATCGGCTACAAAGAAGACTACAAAGATTTGTAATCAATTAAAATATTGATTAAGAAAATAGAATAAAAATTATTAAATTAGATTCAAATGATGTTTTAACATAAATAATAATTTTTAAATTTTGCTCAAATTATTATTGTCTTATGACTACATGATTAGGGTTGTTAAAAGGACTCTTTGTTCGTGAACAGCTCGTGTTCGGCTCGTTAAGCA